GCCATAATGTATGTTATCTTTGAGGACAACGAGGTGCAAGCACCTAACGACGAGGTACTGACCCTAGAGGGTCGGGTGAAGTCAAAAATGACAGTTATCTTTGAGGACAACGAGGTGCAAGCACCTAATGACGAGGTACTGACCCAAGAGTGTGAGGTGCAATCAGTTAACGAAGTGGTTTGTGACCTTGAGGTGTGCACACCTGTAGACGCTGATGCGTCGGATGCTGAGATCATCATGAGTAGCGATGATTATATCGTGAGGGACAGTGATATCGATCAGCTATATACGCTAGTAAACGGTTTGACTAGGGATGTTGAAGAGCCGGTGGCTCTTTCAGCTATGCCCGCAGTAAGTGCTCTGTTAGAGCTGGACAAGTTGTCCTTTGCCGAGTTTGGCATGGCCTTACAGGCAGGCGTTATAAGACCTGAGGAGGAATTGAACTTCTCATCGCTTCTGTATAAAGCAGTTCTTGAAGATACCAAGAAGGCGCTGAATGCGCGAGTGGATCACAGATCCTAAAGGACCCTTCGGATCCTTATTTTCCTTTGCTGAAGAAATATGGAGATGTTGTCTCCAGAGAATCTACTACGAGGTTACCTCCGTATAGAGGTGTACGTCATGAGATTGACTTGGTTCCAGGAACCAAATACTGTCTGACGCGACAGTGGCCGCTGCCACGAGAACAATGTGGCTTCATTGACGAGTTCGTTCTTGCAAAGCACGCGGCTGGCTTGGTGCGTGAAAGTAAGTCTCCTCACTCTACGGCCACGTTTTGTGTGAGGAAGCCTAATGGGAAGTGGAAAGTAGTGCATACTTACAATAAGCTAAATTAGCCACTATCCCGGCTTAAATACCGATTCCTTGCAAGGATGTTCTTTTGAGCAATAAAGTGGGATGTACGTTGTACATTGCCCTCGACTTAGTCGATGGATATTACCAACTGCTCATGCGAGCTAGTGATATCCCGCTGACAGTGGTCAGCACTCCGAGCGGTATGCTCTGCAGGTGGTTAGCGATGCCCCAAGGGCTGTCTAACGCACCTGAAACGTTCAATCGTCTGGTGACACAGTTTTTTCGGCCCCATAGGGCGTATGCACAAACATACTTTGACGATATGTTCGTCCATAGTCGAGCCGAAAATGACAAGACGTATGTGGAGAATCACATCGAGCGTCTGCGCGCTGTGCACGGCTGTATGAGGATTCATAAATTATATGCCAATATTGACAAATGCATTTTTGGTGTAGAAGAAATTTCCTTTTTGGGATGCTTCATTGGGAAGCAAGGAATCCGGGCAGACCCTGTCAAGGTTCGGGCAGACCCTGGTCATAGACCCTATGTCTGTGCAGTGACCGTCACGGTCTTTATGGAGGCCTCCTAGCTGGCGTTGCCAGAACGGAAGCCTTCCAAATAAGGCTGTGCTCATTAGAGGAAGCTGTTGGAGTGGCATGAAATGCCGAGACCAACTTAAAGGCAGCTAGGCCTGCCACTTATAACTACTCGTCTGATGGATCTGTTCCGTGGACTGTAGTCATGTGAGAGCTGAAGAAGCAATGCTTAAGCGCCGGAGCAGAAAATGGTGCGTAGATGTTATATCTTCCGGAGCACAGACCATTTGATGCCAAAATGCCCTGCAAGAAAGGCATATTTGGTCTCGAAGAGCCGATACCTCGCGGGCAAACCCTGTGACTGCCGCGAGGAGACAGCGGAATACAGTAGCCGCGGGGCTCCCTACTGGGGAAAAACTGAGTTTTGTTGAGTTTGAGTCTCTTCGGGAGAACCGAACTCTTTAAAACGGAACGATAGTGCAAGCCATGGTTTGATTAAGTATTAGCAAAAATAAATTGTAATTTGGGCACTTGCTAAAACGGTAATTTTTTCTCCTTAAGATGTAGCTACATATATCATTACAAGACGTTGTACGGTCGAACACGCATTGTGCGATGACATTTCTTACAATTTGACTATTTGAAGACAATGATTGTTAGAATATAATTGCGGACTGACTGCTCCGTGAATAATGTTTACAATAACTAGTAACGAAGATCAATAATATGCACATGGCCATATGGCCTCGAACATTACGCGTCAATTGCTCTCACATCCAGGGCTCGAATTTTACAAATTGTCACACGAGGAGGGGCTAACTATTCCACAATTCGGACATGCGCTCGGAGCCTAGTATTAGAGTGACGATTGTCATGCTTGTACCGTTTGACAAAACCGGAGTGTAGAGGGACAGCGAAGCTCAGCTAAAAAATGCTGACACTGAAGTAGTCCGTCTGATTCTGCATCACGCAATGGAGACATGCCAGTAAGCAGCAATCCAGTTCTAAATCTCTTAATCCTTAATTGCAAAAGTCCCACGCCATGTGGGATGGGAGCGATACAACAAGTACGTGCGATTTGTTCATCTACGTTGCGACAAAAGTAATTTTGGTACGTAGAAAGACCAGCGAAAAACATTTGTGCTAGAGGTCTCGAGAATTCAGTAGGAACAGGTTACAAGCTCAAACGAATCTCTTTAGAGCTGAAACCAAGTCGTATAGTTGCTTGTCACTATCGAAATCACCTTCAACAAATAAGATACCCAAAGCTTTAATACAAGAATTATATGGTAAAGGAGCCTTTTACTTTGAATCCGTATCCAGGCCTCGTGCTCTCAGAATCGGACCAAGCGGAACTGTTGCAACTGGAAAGTGACTTGATCCTTGAAATTTTTCCAAAGTATGAAGCGTATGTGGTTCAAGACAAGCAGCACGTAAATAGCGTCCAATGGAGACCGATCGGCGACGACAAAAACTTGCACGTCTATGTTGAGCGAGAAGGTTGGAATGATGAACCTGAGAATAGTGATCCGTCCACTCCAGAATCTAAGGACAACTGGCAAAAGCATATGCCAGTCCTTCTCGTAGTGGGAACGTTTCAGGGAGAGATGAACGACCTCATGTTCGGCACTGTAAATCCAAGTCAAGATATCATGCGCATCAAAGCCTCGTACGTAAAAGACTACAGCGATGGCGCCGTCTTGGCCAACATCGCGATGCCAACTCCTGAATACCCCTTCCGTTCAGTATCCGTCAAATGGACGCAGATCAACCTGCCTCTTAATCAAACTGGCCTGGTCCAAAAACCGAGACTTCATCTGCCTCGAGGCAACTGGAATACTACGTTTCAAAAGTGGAGAACGTGTTGGCTACCAGCTGCTTCACTCGATCGACTTTCCAAACACCCAGCCACTACCTGGAACGATTCGTGCCAGACACAAGATCATTGGTTTCTACCGGCAAATAAGTCGCAACGTTATCGACACTTTTGCATACGACACAGTGCACCCAGGTGGCAAGATTTTTCGATCTGTTGCTCTAGAAGCTTCTGCAAAGGCCCTACTTTCCACCACAAACTACGTGGTTTGTGGACAAGCCAAAAAATTGACGTGGAAACTTCAGCATCGACATGCAGAGACGCGGCTGGATCGGCACCGAAGTAGCGCTCGCAGTGGGCTCGTTGGTAATAATTTGTGTGGAGTGTGTGCGCGAAATCTCGCGCCAAGACGCTTTGGACTTCCGCGGATTGGCTCTCTTGGTAGAAGTGTTTGTAAGCTCTGTATGAATCCTGTGTGCCACAAGTGCAAACGACCCAAGGGAATTAGCTTTCTCACTCCGGACGGAAAGCTTTTGCGTCGCAAAATTACGTTCTGTGTCGTGTGTGTAAGCGAAGTCACGCATATGGATGCATTGCACGCTGCACAAGACCAAGCGGGAGGATATCTAGCTTATAGCGTTATGGCGTCCCTCTCTGGGTCTGATATCCTTTCGGACGACCTCAACGTCTGAGAGACTTTTGTAATGAAGATTCCGATGATGCTGAATCGGATGTAAATATTGTACGCCATTTTTCTTTATCATACAAAAAATGTAGTGCTGTCATAAAAGAAAAGTAATGATTAGGCTTTGCTTGCAAGAGGATAAATAGCCAGTGCTTCCTCAGCCAATGTTGACATTGGTATCATGGACAACAATGCAACATTCAACGCATGGACGACAACGGGTGTCGATCTGAACGCGTCAATAAAGATGATGATGCTGAATCGCATCACATCTGTTCGATAAGCAAAATCATTAAGACTACAATTTTTGGTCGCCGGTTCTTGCATTTTTTACGTGTAGAACCGCGGCACCGCAGCAGATATAGACACAGCCTCATCTGTGGTTGCAGCCGATGGAGTTTTTGATGGCATGCTTTCGCTTGACGTGACTCGTAGTGTCCACGAGACGAGGTTGATACGAACACAAGGAACTGTCTTAAAGTTTCAAAACGCTAAGAACACGACCTCTGCGTGACACATGTTTTTGCCATTTTGGTTCGCCTGAGGCATAGGCGCCACAAATATTGAATCTACATTGTCCGGAATTCCTTGTTTTGGTCGCGACGACGACGCTACAGTCTCGGCACACGAATCATTATAAGTGAGCTTGACAAAGAGCCCACAAAGTTCAAATCGGTTCGTCAATACTATGCCTTCGAGCCGTTGAATACTATTCGTAGTATGTGGTATGAATGATAATTAGCTGACAATCTTAGGGCAATACGGTCAGGTCAGTCTGATGAAAGAATGAAATGGTGCGATTTTTTTCTTCCAGGTTGTCGCAGCGTTGGCGCTGACGCAATTCCGTCATGGAACACTAGCTCCAAATTTTGAGGAACCGTTCACGGACGCTGACATAGTTGGTATCGCCACAGGTAGGTACCACACCAGGGAATTATCGACATACTTACCTACCCAGATGGCGCCATCTCTCCATTTAACCCTGCCAGCGCATTGGCTGTGTCACATGGCGTTGATTTACATGCAACAATACAGGACCGACAGTATTCTCAACCTCGGTTATCACTGTCCTCATCCGCTTCTATTCGTTGCAATGTAAGTATCTGTTGCCGGTAGACTTCTCTCTCACCCCAAATTATCAATGCGTTGGTAACAGTCAGTTGTCCTCATAACTTTGGATAGGAAGGGTACCTAAATACATTGCGCAACGCTGCTAATTGCTCTGCAAACGAGCCCAGGTAATTAGACCAAGACCCCATCGCCTGGTTCCTGCGGTAGTAAGCCGTGTTCCACCCCATATCTTCGTTCCAGTCGCTGAATTCGTGATGAAATGCTAGGTGCAGCCGTTGTGCTACATGTCTGTCTGGTACCCAGAGCAAATCCATATCCCTGGAAGCCAATATACGAATATAAACTTCAGGATATACCTGGTCTGCTTCTTATCCCGAAAGCGGTTCCGTTTCACCACGGTGAAAAGCTCATCCGTGGTCTCAGTGTTCTGAGACCCGCTAGCGTAAACGTCCAACCCAATTTACTCCATAATAATTGCCTCCTTTGATAGAGCAGTGGCCTTCAGCGAGTCAGCATCATAATGGAAGGAATCGAATATTAAGGCCCCAGTTTATCCAACAGGTGCGCATGCCTTCTCCTTTTAGTGCCGTCCATTCCAAGTAAGCTTGCCCATGCTGAAACTTCCGTAAAAGTGCGTTTTATTATGCTGTAAAACCTTCAATATAGAAATGACTCGGTTGTAACATCATTTCTGAAGAACGACTCTGATCTTCATTTTGTAAATTTTAAGACAGTCCCAATTGCGTGGAAATCACCGTTTACAATCTAATTAGTCGACAGTCCCGATTTCGCGAAAATCACCGTTTACCATCTGGTAAGTCGTGTAGGAGTACTGCTATACATGCGCACTCTAATCGTCCTTTACGTCTAAAACATACAAAGGCTCTGTCACATAAACTGCAAGCGCTCGAAGTATAGTAATCCCAGCCCAAAAGGAAACGGGTACCGTTATACCCACAGATTGTACTCGCGTGGCCATATAATGGACATATAGTGCCGCTGTAGACGCTGGGATCATTGACGGCGGTTGTGTATCCGAGTACATCCGTACTAAGTCCTGCATAGGATCCAGCAGGCCCAACTGGATATTGTATCTCATATTCATATTCGTGAGGACCAGGTCTGTCACCTGCTGCTGATCTGTAGGTCGCCACTTGTCGCGGTTACGTTAGTTGTAGAAGGCATAGATCAGGCATTGGCCGTTAATCGGCACATAAATCTTGATCTTGTTCATACTTCCCAACAACTCGTCGATCTTTCGTGGAGGTGGTCGGTTCGTTTACCGATATCAGCTCATATTAGCGCCGGTGGCTTAGCTCATCTCCTCCAGTGACCGTGTGAATCGCGAATATCTACAAGCTTGTCCAAACAGGTGCCCACAGCTACCACCATGCTGGAGTCCACCATCGCCTCATCCTCGAAAAGATGTGTTGAATGTACTTCTCCGAAGACGCTTGCCTCCTGTCGACGGACAACGTGGTGATCTTGTTGGGATGCAGAATAGGTAGAAAACTACGTCCGGTTGACAGCTCCACCCCGTCAGTTCCATTGTCCATGTCAACGTCTTAAGAGGAATCATCTCCTTTAACGAGATCCATTGACATGCCCTCTCCGTCCGAGGGCATCTCCTCGTCTTTTGAGCTATCAGCTAAACCATCGTAGCGGTTCCCGTGTAAAAGTGGAAATACTGTCAACACTTGTTGTGTGATTCGATCCAACGCATTCTCGTAGCCAACGCATTCTCGTAGCCAACACCTGTTGTTCAGGGTTGTGTGACGTCCTCCTCTGCTGCTTGAGACGTTGCCAGATCGAGCGTAAACTGAGGGCTATCAACCCCTATTTATTTGGTTGTCGTGGACCTGTGACGTGGACGTCCCTCGGAACCGTCGCTCTCCAAGATGGAGAGAAGAACACCCGCCGTACGCCTATCAGATCTGCGCGTGGTGCACACCAGAAAGATCGGAGGACTTGGGAGCTCTAAGTTGCGCTCTACCTAAGTTTGTTACATCGCGCGATCCTTTACCGTCATCGGCCGTAACTAATCATTCGCGCGTAGTGGGTAATACTTGGTTGCTACCGCATACCAGCGTGACATATGAACCTCACTAATTCCTGTTATCTCCTGCCTGTCATCAGGTTGAAGTCAGCGGGGGTGCACTGCTGATCTGAGATCTCTCGCCGTTATACCGCTTGCTAGGCGATTAGCAGAGATTGGTGCAGACCCGTCTGGTGGACCAGGAAGTTGTGGGGGACGGGCGGCTCTCACTGAGCCACCTTCTCCACTTATTCGAAAGTAAAGATTAATTATTGTAAGCTGATTTCAGATCGCAGTTGTTGTGCAACAGCAAAATTGAGTGTACACACTGCACTTTTCATCAGCAAGGTCATGCTCCTGACTATCAGGCCCATGACCAACAATACCGTTCTTCGTGTTCAGTGATGCGCTTAGACCAGCCACATCACTCGGTGGAGTACGCACAAATCAGAGGAGTCTAGGTTTTGATGTCTAGGCTTTCGACCGGCAATGTCTTTGGCGTTCAGCGATGTGATGGTACCAGCCGCATCACGCAGTGGGTTAAGGGCCGTCCACGCGCATCAGCGGGGTCGAGCCCTTGGTGCTTCGGCATCAGGCTGAAAATTTTATAGATGTGCATCATCACTTAGTGGATTACGTGCCACTCCCCGCGCATCAGAGGGGTCTAGCCCTGAGGCCTCGGGTCATACCGACAAATGTCGTTCAATACATTCAGCGAATCATTTCGCAGCGAAAACATTTAATGGAGTACGCGCCGCTTCACACAGAGCCGACTCATAGTCCCAGAGCAAACTATCTCTGACATTCCGGTTTCGAGCACATTGACCGAGTCGGTCTGATGCTCGAGATAATAGCGTTTTTACTTCCTAGCAGTGGCGGATTCATGACTCACCAAAGTTTATACTAGGAACAAAGCATGCAGCGTCTAAGGTTTTAGGCGTCCAATCAATCCATGGCTCATGGCGTTTAAGCCAGGCAATGCGTAGGATAGATTAATATATGGCATCTAGTCAAGGACCAGACAGAGCTCCACGCTTTCGAACTCCAAAAACTTTGCGCCCAGGTTAACAGGTCCCTTGAAAGCACAGCCACACCACAATGGTGTGGCAAGTGTCTTGCTAAATACTCACCATTGTGTAACCCCGTTACACCCTCCCCCACTAATCCGTGGGGTCCGGCGTCACATTGTTCTCGTGGCATCGGCCACTGTGCGTCACGCAGTTCGATGTTCGTGGTACCATGTTAACTTCGTAAAGTACACCTCTATCCGGAAGTAACCCCGTTGGAGCTTCAATTGAAAACGATGTCGCCGTACGCCTTCAACAAAGTAAGTATGGATCCGATAGGTCCTTCAAGATCTGTGATCCATTGCGCGAATTCAGCGCCTTCTTGATATATTCAAAAGCTTCCTTATCCAAATGTGATGTGGAATTAACTCCTCTTAGATCGTACAATGACCACGTTTGCGATGTCGCCTGCCTGTAAGGCACTGCCAAAATCGGCAAAGGACAAATCAACCATCTCTCCAGAGCACTTACTATGGATGTGGCCGAAATAGTCAACGGATTTTGGACGTCCCCAGACAAATCATTGACGAGTTTAAATAGCTTTCCGCTATCCGTCCCATCATGATGAAATCATCGCTACTCTTAATGCTCTCAAAATCCGACGCAACAGCGTCCACAGTTGTCAACACCTGATAGGCCAAAGACTACTCCGTTTATTGCATTCGTCCCAAAAATACCTCGTCATGAAATGTTAGTGTGGTGGAGTGGGTTCTCAAAACTGTGTAATGAGACCCCAAGCCACTTTCTGTGCCGGACTGTCGAATTTTGGAGGGGGTACCCCGATGCCGCGTACAGACCTTCTCTCACTTTGTGTACACGTCGGCTGGCGGGTTA